GCCTTGCCTCCTTCTCTCCCGCCCCCTGACCGGATTGTCCGTCGGGGGGAGGGGAGGCGCACCAGCTGGAAAAAAGAGAGCCGAACACACACCCGGATCGGCATTGTTCGCGCGACCTTCGGGGACAATTCGATTTTGTCGAATTCCAGCGAGTGAGTCTAGCCGCGGAATTTGCGGGGGCGTTAGGGGATTTGCCGGCCCGACGATCTTTAAAAATAATAGAGTTCCGTCCGATGATAATAACTCGGTCGATCCAAATAATGATTCCCTTGACGTTTAACGCTCCCCAGCAATGCTCTCTCTTCTTCGGCTGAGCAAATATTAAATTAGAAAACTACAATAAGGGCTCGTCGTTCTTTTATAATGCAGCTGCAGCTCGGAAACCTTTTGATATCTATGATCGCGCAATTGGCGCGCGATAGCGTTGGCATTTTGATCGGAAAGTCCGTTGATGGAGAATTTCACTCGCATCGGCAACGAAGGATTTTATTAATTTTATTAATGACAATTATTTCGAGGTTATGTAAGGGATAATAGCTGAGAATCGGTCGAGCAGGATCGCAACATTTACCGTTGCTTCTCAAAAGCTACGACGGCGACAATAGTATTTTTATTATATCCTAACCTTTCCTTTCAATTTGCGTAATTATTATTAGCGGTCTTTCGCTACGTCTGAACAGTTTAATATTTACTTTCAGCAAATTCTATATTATCCCCGACATTTTACTTCCAAGTGAGCAAATATTTTAAAGTAATTTTCAAATTTTACATAATTTTTTCCATTTTCGCTCACTTAATATACGTCAAAGTCGCAATTAAGTGGCTTGCATTTAAGTGTCGGAGCTGTCGCTAAGTAATGAAGTTGAAAGAATTTGTATTGAAATGCCTGTGTGGAAGCCGAAATTCTATTGGGATTATTTATGCGCTTACCAATAATAACTTGTAATTTATCATAATTATAAATTCTTTGGAATATCTTTTCTATATTATTCACTCTCGCTTAAACTTGAAAATTTCTTCTTTGCGTTATTGTTCATGCATTACGACGATGTATATCAGTTCCACTCTCACTTGTATTTTCGCCCTCATTCGTTCTCCTTCGCTCGGTATCACGTACGACTTCTTTCTCTTTTACACTACTTTTGTCTCGTTCTCCTTTCATCGGCCAATTGGCGTTTATGTCATTGCAACATAGCGGACTTCTGTGCAATTTTCGGCCGATTGTTATTATTATTATTATTATTATTATATTTTCATCATTTTTAGATCTTTGATCATTTTTCTATTTTAGGCAGGTAAGTATGGTATTTTAGTTAAAAATATAGATCATTATTCTTCATATATCGAGTGCCGATTTTATAATTTTATACATAAGCAAGAAGAATTTTTCCCTAATGTCTTTACGAATTCGTTTATTATTATGATTACTAACACCATTGTCATTATTCTTATTATTATTCTTATCATCATCATCATCATCGTCGTCGTCATCATTATTATTATTGTTGTTATTATCGACGTATTACTGTCTCATTGTATTTCTAAATATTAAATATTGTATAAATTTGATTTGTTCGTATCGTTTTGAGCGCTTTTACCATATGTTTGGAATTCTTATATAAGTGGATAATATAAGAAATGTTTATGTGCATGGAAGTATCTTATAGTCCTCAATATTTGCTTCAAATATAACTATAATTATAATCAAATAAGACGTTCAATATACTTTCCGATATTCCTTTATAATAATTAAAGTAAATTAATAAAAATTCTCAATAATATAAACTAATTTAATTATTTTAATATATTTTATGAATATCAAGAATTACGTATTTTTGTTGTGATAAATGTCATTTGAAATATCTTTTTTTATTTAGAAATTACTAACAGCCAATAATACAATATATAAATAAATTATAAAATGCATACTTTTAATTAATTGATTTTTTTTATTTTTAAAAACACTCAAAGTTACAGATAAAACAACTAATAATTTATATTATAACTCAAGCGTATATTTTCTATTATTTCTATCAATGTTCAAAATATTCAAAATAACAACACTTCTCTACTATACACGCACACGCGCGCACGCACACACACACACATATTGCACATTCAACATTTACTAACTATTTATTTAACACAAATTATATGCAAGTTAAATGAGAAAACGTAATTAAAATTTTTTTAATATTCTTATTACTTGATTCTGAAAAGTTAAAATAAAATAATTCTTTATCTGGAAATATCATGAATGTTATAGTTTTAAATAAGGTTTGAAAAAGTTTCTCATTATTTTCGAGTTTCGTTTGATAATCAATATAATTAATAATATTGATTTTAACGCTGAATATATCAGCATAATGCGCATAATGCGTAACATTTCTTTTTTTACTTTCACTCCTGTGAACGGTAAATGAAATTCGACCGGATGTGTGGGTGTCCGAATTTCTCGACACGTACAAAGTCAATTGAAAAAAAAAGCTTACGGTTTGATTGGTAGAAAAAGCAAATATTGATAGTAAAAACATTTATGAAACGTCATTCAAAAATGTCGTGTACATTGGAAAAACATAATGAAACAGAAGTAATTTATATTGGAATGAAGACAGATTAACATAATACAATATTTATACTAACTAATATAAATAAATAATAAAACAAAGTTTTTTACTTTGAATTTAAACGTATGTTTTATTTAAAATATACTTATTAAATAACAATAGTTATAAAAAAGTAATATATAATTCTCCTAAATCGTAATGGTTAAATTCTATTGTAAATTATACTTAAATTAATAAATAAAAATGTAAATAATTGAAATAACGTTATATCGATAATATCTGAAATTTTAAATATATAAAAATACATTTAAAATGATTCACTTGATATTTTGAAATAGTTAAAAATTTCATTTTTAAATCTTTCAATGTGTATTAATTTCTTAAGCATTACTTATTTTGCCGTTATGGTACCATTTTATGATATAAACAAGAAAATTACTCGAACTAACTGTTATTAGATGAGATCCAAATGTATTCGAATTTAAAAAAAATTTCATTTGTCATAGATGAAAATGACCAAAATATACACAATTACATAAATTGTCGTTACGGTAAAAGTATTTTTAATAATCAAAACTCGTTTTTATGAGAGAGACTTCCTGACCTATCAGTTAGTTTTCCCTATATCACGAGACAATTACTATTCTAAAATATAAAATACATTAATATTATTATAAAAAATTAATTTTAATAATACTGAAAAAACATAAAAATGTACATTTTACTTATAAAACAACCGTTACAAAAACATCACTACGCTCTTTTAAATATACTTTCGGCTTTGTTTTTTTTTTTCATGGCTGTAAAAAGTATGACAGATAGTACTTTGATCGAATGATTCTTGAAGGTTCTACTACTATAGGTTATGAATTACGTTTTCAAAATTCTTTTTACATTAGGAAATAATCTTAAGCAATATCTATGAATTTATTTTGAAATGTAAATGTAAGATATGATATATACCAAACAAAAATGTTAGCAATATAAACCAATTTATACAATGTTCATTGCCATTCGTCACATATAAACAATCTTCTGATATTATAATTAATAAATTTCTGAAATCATAATGTTATATAATAAACAACTTTTCAGATGATGCACGAACTCAGCTCAAATATAAATAAAAAAAAAAACTAGAAAATTAGTTACATTACTTATTATTAGTGCTTATGAAATCAATATAATTTTACAATAAATTACTTTTAATTATCTATATCAAAGAAACACTATTTATTATACAGTTTTTTAAAATAAATCTTTATTATTTCCAACACATAGCTTAACATTACTTATACTACTATTACTCTTGCTAAAAGTCTTCTCTTTACTTTCTTTATTAGCATATTGAGATGTAAATAATAATACTATTTATTTATCATTGTTAAGCAATTTATTTTTTAGTTAAATAATTATTACATAATTGAGTTTTATAATTTTCTTCGTAATAAGTAAAATTTAATTATTAACAAATTAATATAATATTCTTCATTTTTTTTTTTGTTCTTTTTCTTGTGCATTATAATCTTGTAGAATTCGAATTTAACTAAAGAAATAATGAAATAAAAGTATCAATGTACAGTAGTCTAAAACTCAAAAAAAAATTAGTCTGACACAATCTTATAACAAATTGTATTTTGAATATCAATAAAACTTATTCACAACTATTGAATAATTAATGTTAAATATTTCTTAAGAAATTCTAGTATTCAAAGTTAGAACAAAATATTCTTAATAAAAATAAAATTTGATATTTAATCTGCTATAATTGGATTTATTCAGGATAATATATTTAGTAATTATTTAAAAAATCAGCATAATAAAAACAAAATACTATATATTATCAACAATATATTCAGTAATCTTTTAATTAATCATATTAAAGCAATAACGAAAAAAAAAAAAAAAATAGATTGATTTGTAAACTGATTGCATTCATATATCTTACCTTCTAAATTTAAATAAAAAAGAAATGTTAGTGAGAGTGGGAAATGATTTCTTCGACGAATAAATGTAAAGGACAGTTATGAGCAAGGATACCCAAGTTGTCTTATTGCAGGAAAGGACCAGGATGATGATCTGCATAAAAACAAACACTTTGGTATATTATCTGTCAAATAATTTTTTGTATTAATAACTATTAAACAAACTTTTTATGTACATAAGCTTATATTCAGCATAGCAGCAAAATGCGGGATTAAATTTTGGTAGAGAATCACTCTTAGCATCGGATCTCTCTCTCTCTCTCTCTCTTCCTCTCTTTTCCTCTCTCTCTCCCTCTGTCTCTCTCCTTTTCACTGAATTATTATTAATATGTTTGTATTTTCAGTTTCTTCTTTTTTGGAATATAATCATCTGATTGTACAGGTGAATTAAATATAATTTAGAAATTACGTGGACAGATTAAATAATTATAATTTCATAAACAAGGAATATGTAAAAAAAATATATTTATAATTATTTGTTTACAAAGTATATAAATATGTGCAACTAATGTTTATTCACGTGAATCGCCAGCATAGGTTATCCACAAAAACAAAAAATCATTTGCATATGAAAATTGATATGGCACGAGTGATCCGAAGAGCAAGTGATGGATATTTGATAATTTAACTTATCGTAACTACAATATACACGTACTTAATATGCTTATAGATACATGTACGTATAATTCCTATACATTTTTTATATACTTTTGGACTTTGCCAAACTACCAATTAATGGCAGAGCCATAAAATTATACATCATAGAATCATAAAAAATTTATCCCAACCTCAACCCAGCAAAATTTTTGTTATCGTCCTTTTGAATAACCGGATATATATATATATATATTTAATAATAAAATGTATACAATTCTAGTTAGTAACTAGCTCAATTTGTCTATATTTTTTACGCAAGTTGCTTACAGGGTCCTTAAACAGTACAGGGTCCAGTCTCATGTTCGATCGTAACAATGGCATGTAACCAAAAACGGCAACAAACGTATTCATACAGGTTTGACGCTGAATAAAATGATCTGGATCGTTCCATGGAGATCTAAAAGCAACAAAGCAAACAGTAAAATTATTAATACGCCAAAATTCATCGCCCTTAAAAGCCATTCATACACTTCCTTTTACAATTACTAAGTAACATATATTTGATTAAAATTGTATGAAAATTAACGAAATCAATAATTCAACGATTTTACAAATTAAATTGATGAGATAATATTCTTTATGTAATAAAAATAAAGCATAATTTAATTGAATGCAAATGAAAATGCAAATGCATTTTTTTGCAATTTTAAATGAGCGTGCAATGTAGACGTTTAGATAAGATCGAAAATTTTATTAGGAATTATAAAACAAAATAACATAAATAATTTGTTTGAGTAATCGAGTTAAATCAAGTTACCGCGGGTGGTCTGTCTCTGATTATACAAAAATTTGTGTAAATCCAATTACTTAATAGTTTCGATGCAATTTAAATTATGTTAATTTTTTATTACAATAGTATCGTAATAAGACGAATATTCATTATGAATAGTTAGATAGAAATGAAATATTGAAATCATAAACAATATCCAACCTATAAATACTTACCTGTTTCCAGCAGCTGTTGTATCTTTATACATTTTACGTTGCGTTACTTTAATTGGAGGGCGACGAGTAACATGGCTCACAAGAAAATTCATTAAAATATCTTCACAATTTTGAGATTGCTCTACAGTTTTGTGAAGAGTTGAGCTCAAAGTCTCGGTATATAAAGTATTATAGTAACGATGATAAAAGGCAGCCCCTGTCAACACCATACTGTAGTCATTTGTCCACTTGCTTGTATAACCCCATGAGCGCTGTAAAATCAATCATATAATTTTACATATTTGAAATAAAATTATTAGTAAAAGTGATTTGCATTTATTGTGAGCATGAATAATCAAATATTGAGATTTCAATTTTTTTTAATTAGAATTTCTTAATCGTTTTATAGAAGCATAAGCATTGCTTGCACATTGTTATAGACACTTGAAAATATTAGGAAAATGTTGGAAGATATATTTCTCTATGAAAATTGCCTCTCTTTTATAAACCTTAGAATCGTCCCAATAATGAGATCTAGCTGGATAGCCGATGATTCGGTCTGGAAAACTCTTCCAAACAACAAAAGCAAAGTCAATTTCGTCAGTATTCAGCGTTACATCTTCGTCTAAAGATAATATGGCACTAGTTTTGATCAAGGGATGAGGATGAAATCTATAAGAGATTCCTGTGGCAGGGACTACATGGATCGATGCCTTGATGCCTTGCCAGCGTGATTTTCTTGGTAGTGGAATGTCTGAGTTCCACATTAATATGATCTGAAAAAGTTTAAGGATAAATTATTTAGGGTAAAATTTGTATTAGAAGCAAAATACTTGTTTTTCATACAATACAATGTCGAATAAATATTATTATTAATAAATTCGTTCAAATTTTCTTTCATTTAAAATTTAAAATTCAAAATTTAACAATTAATTGAAATAAATGAATTTTAAAAGATCATTTAATTTTTACTATTAGAAAAAGTATAGATATGGCACAATGTGTATAAAAAAAAGTATAGAAATTGTATGAAAAATAATTTATAAAAATAAGTTAGAGATCTTACTTTATCTAAGTATTTACTCTTAGTGAGGCTCTTCAGAAGTCGATAAAGAACAGCCGTAGATCCCAGCTGAGAGTAAATTATGGCAGTAAATGTATTGCCTGGATTACAATCCTGAAATGGAAGTTCCTGTTGACTGTCTGCAAATTTTGGTAAAATAGCCAATGCTCCTGGATCTCGATTCCAGACACGTAACTCCCTACGACCTTCCCAAGGTATACGTTCGCGTATAATCTGTTAACGATAGTAATTAAAAATATCTTGTCATTATTTTAATAATATTCAATGAAATATAAATTATTAAATTATTTCAAATATAACCTCAAATGTTGTGAAGATAATCTTTTCTATAGAAGAAAAGTATCGTTCCCACAAAAACTGAGTTTGCTGTCGTAATGCCAAAATTTTTATGTTCGCCACTGATCTAAGAATATCTGGAACCTACATAAAATTGAATGTATTTAATTTATTGCCACAAATTAATAATAATATTTTACTTCATTCAATAGTTGAAACTCTATCCTTCCCAAAGCAAAGTAAGAAAAATATTCAATAATATTACTTACTTGAAAAAGAAGTCTTTCGTCAGCAAAAATTACTGCCTGAAACCAATCAATGCGGTCATGAAATGGAAGAGCCCATCCATTGCTTAAAATAACAGGAATACATCCAGCTCTTAAGGCTTCTAAAAATCGAAAGCTACCAAGTCTACGCCCTCGGGGAACAAGACAAAATGTAGAATTTAGCAAAAGAATCTCATAGTCATACCTAAAACGATTATAGACGATTATAGACGATTATAGATGGGTATTTTGTAATATAGTGGCCTAGTCGTTTACAATTGTTATCATTCTCTTTTAAACACTATACAATATGAGAGTATCAATGAATGTGACTTACATATCGTACTCTCTAATATCTTGTTGACAATGTTCGTCTTGCAGCTCTCTCCATGATTTACCATGTCTACAAGTTGTTACAAATATGAGATCTTTTCCATTATGCAAGTGATGGAGAGCATTTCTGGTCTCCGATCCAATCCCATGGACATACCTCTTTCCCTTAAACGCAGCCAAATATCTTTTATTACTAGGGAAATGATTATGAGTGGCGTGTCCAGGTTCGCCTCCTCGCTCAGAATGTTGCTTTCCAAAAAGTGGTATAGACACATCAAAATCTTCTCTTAATTTCATAATTGACATACTCGCTTTTGCAAGCATAGCATATCCATAATCAAAGGCCATTGCATCCTCTATGTAATCAGGCCAAGTGCCAGAATACAAATTAAAAATCAAATGATTTTTTCCATTATTCCAATATGGCAATCGCGCGAGTTTTGTAGGTAGATTATGTACAAATTCAGTCGACAAAGGATCTCTGTCAAGCGTATCCAGAGCCAAAACAAATAAACAGGCTCGCAATGGATCGGATGTGTAATATCGTGACTCTGTGATGACGTTTAATATTTTTTGGTATAATGGACTGATTGCATCTTCCACTGGATACACATAAACAGTAAATCCCCCTTTGCATTTTGTAAAATCGAAGCATGTATGCATATCGCACTTTTTTAAATTAAGAGGTGTTGGTGGTTGATTATTTAATGATTTTAAATATTTTTCATAGTTTTCTTTATAGTTTGGATCGATGACGTAGTAAGAAGGTAGATCATCATAGAGCAATTTCTTTTTACTCGAACTTTTTACTGTTTTTAAACGAAAGCCACCAAAGTAGCAAAAGCCAAGAAAAGCACAGGTTACAAATACAAGGAGATAACGCTTTTTGGCTTGCATTTTCAATACAACTGTAGTACACTTAAGTTCTTAAACAATGTGCCTCCAAAACAACCACCGTAGCTCTCCAAAGATATGCATTGTATACGATTTCTTGATTAAATACTTGGATCATCACCAAGATTATGGCAAAAATTTGATTGGCATCTCCACTCTGTCACTAAAAATTAAAAAATTACTTTATTATACATATGATTTGAAAATAAACTTCCACATACATTTCCGAAACATAAAGACATTACAGTAAAGAGAAATATATAATTATATTCTCTGTGTAAATTTTACAATTGAAAATTGAAAATTGAAAAAGTTTATGTTATTTATGTCACATATAATTTATGTCAGTAAAGTATTTATTGTCTGTATTTATATTTATTAAAATTGTATTATTTGATTAAAAATTTAACGATACAATTACTTGTTATTCAAATACATTATGATACAATGGCAATTTGAAACTTTAAAAAGCATTAAAAATTTATTCTCGCATAAGGCATTATTTGTATAATTATTGTAAATATTTTTATTACACCTGCACATACACATGCAACCTATTGAATTATTAGTATTTAATTAGTTGTAAGATTAAAAATTAATCGAAGACATGAAAATATTTATTAATAATTTAATATTAATTGATAGAAAAATATCGATATATCTTTAACTTAATTTATTATAAGTACCATTGAATTTTTTAAATACATTAAGTAATATATAAGTAGATATGATAATAAACACATATGCAGACGTTATTAAGTATTAATAATACATTTGTGAAGAAAAATATTTATGAAGTTATAATTAGATATTAACTACAATACTGTATAAAATAATTATTCTTCTTTAATTATTCGAAATAACAGATAATTATTTTTATTTATAAAAATCTGCATTAATTTTAATATACATATATTGCTAATAAATTGAATTATCTCTTAACAAATGAAAATAGCAAAATTATAAATTTCAATATAATAATGATAAATTTAAATAGTAATAATTTTATAAAGTTTTTAAGTCCCAAAAAATTATCATTTATTATCAAGTTATACTTATTGGATATACTTAAGGGATTTCAAATGTATCAATTTTTGAATAATATTATTAAAGTATGAGTTAGATTTCATAGAAAACTTTTTTGATGCTTATACTATGATAAAGGAATGTTACAGCATTTGAGCAGTAAAATAATTGTTTTAGTAGTTGACTACGTACCAAGTACCGACCTTCTAATAGATAACTCTGTTTGAAAAGTTATTGGTATTATTTAATTTATCACAATAATGGGTCAGCAATTGGTTGATAGCGAACCACAAGTACGTTTACCTTGAGAAACACATGCATATTGGTCTACACATTAATAAAATGTGAATTACCATATAAATTAAATAACCAAAAGAACGATTGCACCTGATTAAAAATACTTTCCTAAATCACTCATAAAGATATTGTTTTCAATTATTTTATGAACTCAAATTTAATCTTATAATTTTTTAATTGACAAAGCTATATAATTTTCTCTTAAAATGATATGTTAGAATTTACAAATATCAAAAACTACATTATTCATTTAATTAGATAATTCCTAAGCTTACGAGAAATTTATTTTATACATAATATTGGAATATTGGAAGAGAATAAAACATCAGTGTATTATCATCTTGTAAGACTATTTTATAAATAAAATGTGCTGTATACAATATTACAATAATTTCACAAATATAATGTTCAAATCTACTTGTTAATACAAGTAATTACAAAATTAATTATAACAATGTTATCTTGTATGGAACGTTTGATAATTACACATTAAAGAGAGAAGCCACAAGATAAATAACAATTTCAACGACATTATCGTTGAATAATAAACGTGATAAATTATGTACATAATATACGTGGATGAAAAAAAAAAAAAAAAAAAAAAAAAAATATTTTATCATTTAAGTTCGAGTTTATTAAGCATAAGAAGAAAATTAAGAAACAGATTTTTTTTTTTCACTTAGCTTACAGGTCGTCTTACGAGATCGAAAAATAATATAAAATACAATATTGATAATACGATAAGGACAGTGATATTGCTGGCAATTGATCGACGGCATAAATCAGTTAATAAAAATAAGGCTATAGTATGAGATAAAACTTAAAGATTTTTACATTAAAAGCAAAGTAAATAATAAGAGGCGAACCAAAAATAGAATCTTTCCTCCGGTATCACGGAGTTCAAGGTGAAATGGAAAAGGAAATGCAAGAATAAACGAAATAAATACGAGAAGAATGAGAAGAGAAAACATACGCACCTCTCTCTTCCTACTTTAGCATGGAAGAAAATACATCAGTCTTATGTTAAAACGGTATGGTGACTCTTCGTTCGTGGAAAAATTATGTAAATCGCAGGTGGAGCAAGTAATCGACAAGGAGTCAGAGACACAAGAGCCGCCGCTCCTCTCCTCCCGCGCACGCACACGCACACGAACAATTGCAAGGCTAAAGCTCACGCACGTACGAAATCTCAGAGTTGAGTGCGGGACGGTCAATCTTCCAAAGCAACGTGTCCTTCCCGTCCCTGTCCCTGTCGCTGTTGTTGTCCCTGTTCCTGTTCCAGTTCCTGTCCCTGTCCCTGTCGCTGTCCCTGTCCCTGTCCCTGTCCCTGTCCCTGTCCCTGTCCCCGTCCTCGTCCTCGTCTTCGTCTTCGTCCTCCTCTTCGCCGAACGAAGATTTCACTATCCCAGACAAATCAGCGTCGTTGTTCCTCTTACTCGTGGAACACCGTCCCCGTCCCCGTCCTCGTCCTCGTCTTCGTCTTCGTCCTCCTCTTCGCCGAACGAAGATTTCACTATCCCAGACAAATCAGCGTCGTTGTTCCTCTTACTCGTGGAACCGCACTCGCCTACCATAATGCCCTCGGGCCTTATCGTTCTAGGTTAGCTCCAGACGACGGCAGCAGCCACAAGGACAACGACATCGCACTGAGCACGAAGGCAGCGCGACCCACTGAAATATCACGCCCGTCAACATTGCGCACCATCGCTCCAAGGCACTTGCCGCGCTCTCCCCTCCTGCCCCGCCCCGCCCCCTCCCGCGACCCCTCGCAATCGCCGTATCCGGACCGCTACGGCCGATGCTCCGATACCCCGACTAATGCCGCTGCGATGCCCGCGACGACTCTCCCAATCGCATTATCACCCCGTCGTCAGGGCATTTTTTTTATACGACCGAGTCGAGTCTCCCGACGCGACTATAACACCCGCCACTTTGCCACCCCCTTTTTTGCCCACTCTTTACCCCACACCGTCCCCCTCGCGATCATAAGCGGCCACGGCTCGTCCACCTCCTCGACCGAACTCTCCACCCACGTAGCCTCGTCGCCCAAGTGCCCGCTGCTCGAGCTCCTTCGGTCGGCGCCGAGCGGCGTAGCTGCGTCTCGCCCCCTCTAGCCCCGCCGCCTTATCGTTCCATCGTGGCGATAGAGGGAGATATCATTTTTTCGCAAACTGCAAAAATCCTCGTATCTCGTGCGCATGTGCCGCGCGCGAATCTCTCCGTCCCTTTTCTGCTCGTACGCAGCATCCCTCGTCACCTCGCCCGGCGCACGAGTTCGTGCGTGTGCGCGGTGCACGTCAATGCCCAATGGAGGGAGTTATGGAGCGACATCTCAGCGCTTTTTCTACGCGATTTTTGCGCGGGCGTCGCGCTTGCCTGTGATTTAATGGGTGTCGGGTGCGCGCACGCGTGCATGCGTGTGCGCGAGCGCACGAGCGGGAGCGCGAGAGACGCACTCGCGATCCGAAGGGGAAAAAGGGACGAACGTCGACAAATTATTGCAGCGTCGAGGAGCTTTATTCGAACGTTGCTGCCATCTAGCCGAGACACGAAGATTGAGCCTCGAAGAGAGCGAGAGAGAGAGAGAGAGAGAGTAATATAATGGCACACGGCTGCTGCGTTCTCTCGTAGGATTTCGCGTGCTTTGCGAAGGAGCAAATTGATTGGTTGGGGGCTTGATCCTCGGCTACCGATTTATTCTCTCTACTTTAGCGATATTTTTCCTTGAGGATTAAAAGTACGTGGTTTATTTGAGCGTAAGTCTTAACAGAATGCCGAATAAGTCTCGCGAGCCACATTGCTTCACTATATGACAACAAAAAATGTTGGTTTCATTTTATCAGGATGATGCACATTAATACATCCTAGTATTGCGTCAAAATTTTTAGATTATCGTTCTCGTTATTACGCGTCAATTTTATTTAATAAACAATGTACTGGTGACCCACGGTGTCAGAGGCGTGTAGGCGCGCACGAAAGAGAGAAAGAGATTTTGATCGGTTAGAATTCAGTGGGTACTGTTTTATTCATTTGTCACGTATGTACGATCACTTAAGTATATATGTATTATGTACGACAAGTGTTTATGTGAAAAGGTCTGGAATAGCGAATGAACGTTACATAAAAAATGAACTGTTTAAATACGAGGAGATAATAATTAGCTTATGATTATCATTATCAAAGGCACGCAATAGCTTGGGTGATTAATAAATAAATAAAAGATATTGTTCATTTTGTAGTAAGGCGTCAAGTGGCCACTTCATTGTTAATAACAAATTATTACTTTTCCATCAATCGGTCTTACCGTTCGCTTCATTAACTCGAAGCAATTTCAAATACTTTTTCCTTTACGAATTTCGCTATGATGCGCCGACAATATATGCCTTTGCTCTTTATCATCGTTGTAAAGCCAAGATAATACAATCGAAAAATTATTTATCGCCAGAAAGACTAGAGCAGTCTTACCATAAGTCGTTCGATAGATTCTTCTACTTTCATTTTTTCTAATTTCAGTCGCATAACAAATTCAATTTAACGTTTTCACGAAGAATAATGAGAAAAATTATAATATCGTATATTGCTAAAAGACATTTATTTTTAATTATTCCAGCCTGAAATTCAATGTTTTTCACTACGATTAAATATATTATAATTATTATACATATGTATATATATATATATATATATATATATATATATATATATATATATATATTGCAAATTATTATAATATACGATGATAGCATTTTAATAGTATTTTATGGTTTTTTATTGTTTCGTCCTTCTTTCAATTATTCATTAGGCAATTACATCTACTCTTACGGTTTCACTTATAAATCGATTTATATACTAACAAAACGATGAAATAACTTTTATCGATTGAATGATGGAGGACGTGAGTAACGATAGTAATCATGCTCGTAATCAAATCATTTAAAAATTTAATCATGTCCATTAGTTTGTGTAATATAAAAATATAGGAACGATTTTATTTAAATATTTATAATCCACAATATGACAATTGTAATTCGACACTAATTTACGAAATTCATAATAAATTCGGATTAGATTTTAATGGCAAAACTTTCGTTATAAATATTGTCGTTAGTGTTAAAAAGGTTTAAGCTATTATAAATTGTTTAATGTCTAATAATTAAATTTTAATAACTTTTGCGCAAATTGTGCGTGTGATATAAAGAAAAGAACGTTCGCTTATAATTTCAAAGTTAGTTATCTTGAACTGAAGTCGTATATATTGTTAAAGATGATCTCATTATTGTTAGAAAATCGTTGATTTTTGTTTTTTGTTTTTTTTTTGTTTTTTGTTTTTTTTTCAACAATGACATTAATTTTAAAATATGTTTCTGTAGGCATAATTGAACATTATTATTGCTTTGACATAATTGAAACATAGTTTTAAAAAATAGTGTGAAATTATGCTCGTGACATTGATAAAGTTTATACTTATAGATATAATTGACACAGACAATAGGGATCTATAAGCAAGCGCGCGCGCGTGTTTACATGTGTACATACCCTACAAACTCTTATAACGAATAATAAATAATGAATATTTATAAAATTATGAATAATGTCACTAAATATTCAATATATTTCAAATAAATAATATTATTAAATTTATTGTATTACTTTAAGTATAAAAATTGTCTAAGCTATATTTTAGAATTATTTTATTACTTTTGCATCTTTAAAATTTGACAACCTAAAATAAAAAAATGTATTGAGATAAACAAACAAATAATCGACAAGTAATATTGACAATACATTTATTTATATAATTATATGATGGTCTTAATAATTATTTATATTTTGTGTCCGAATGATGTATATGTAAAAAATAATTTTAATTTTAAAAGTTCTTTGCCTAGTGGAATCGATAAAATCTACATACAACGCACACATTGCTATGATTTATAGTTCATTTTATTCCATAACTTACGCTTTCCTGCACAATAAATAAATACGAATGACTCACAGAAAAGGTAAGTGTTATTATCGATGCTTCCTTCAATCACATAATTTGTAATCCAAGACCGTAAAAATCCGACGTAATTGTATAGCCACAGGAACAAAATTCCAAATGGAAATCGAAATCTTATCGTACATTGTAATTTACATGTCTACGAATGCGATGACACGCAAAACCTCTTGCACCGATTGTCATCTCGTCGAAGCACATGTTCAAATACATTAAAAACACGCAGACCTAAACTACATTTATAATGTATAGTTCAAGGTAAATAAATACTCGGTCGATTCGGACAGTGAAAACACGAAGGAGACATTTTTTAATACAATTCTGAAATGTTTTTCCTGTAAACTACACTTCAGTGAATCCGTTCAGTTCATTGGGTGATTATAAATACAAAAGTGTTCACAAACTTCTACCGTATTATTGCCGTTGAATTTTCGGTTTGCTTCTTTATTTATTAACATTATGTATATCAATTGTATTATGCCATTGCAAAAATTAAATTATGCTTGACATTTTGTGTGGTTAATGCTTATATCGAACAATGCAACTGAAGAATTTAGAGAGGATTTCGCAGAGCGGACAAAGAGAGCGAAATCAAATTTGGAATACTTTGATACAAGTATATCGAGATTTCGCTAATCAGTCAACGATACACGGAATCAAATACACAGCACAAGCAAAGACAGCGACAGAAAGGTTTTTAGTTATAATAATTCTTAATTTTCATACGCAAACTTTATGAATACGCAATTTTTAATTGTAAAATACTATAATGCCGATACTTTTTTAAATTTAAAAAAAAAAAAAAAAAAAAAAAAAAGTGAAAATATAATTCTATACAAGTGATAGAAAAGCGGATTTTTCGAACGATACTTGTCTCTAATTTTTATTTGGATATAGCAATATAATAACTTAAATACGAAAGATTATATGGAGGAAAATAAACAATCCTTAATAATTATTTAATAAATCGCATATCAATGTTGAGAGAGTACATCAATATTCAATCATTGCTTTGCGCTCTCATATATATATATATATATATATATATATATATATAAACATATGAACGCGCGTGCCGAGTTATATAAACTTTTAATTTATATCAATTTACTTTCTACCATAGTAATTACGAAAATTCTTGATTATTTGCTAAGCCGGCAAATATGTACTTGACATAATGATTTAAAAACTGTTTTACAAGGAATTTTATCTGCATTTGCATTACCATAAATATCGTATTTGGTAAATAATCTAATAGCATATATATATTTATGTAAAATATTGTTTAAAACAATATTTAAAAAAATAATGACAGTAGAATACTTTTATTTCAATTATATAGATTATTATTAATATGTCAATGATTCATAAAATTTTATCCGAGCTATACTAAATCATACATTTAAAGTAAAAGTTATATAAAAGATATTTCAACATTAAATTTTATGACAAAATATAAAAAATTTGATTTAATCATTGCAAAAGAAGTTTATTTTTAACTCGGTTTAAATATTCAATAAGATACGACAAATTTACATAACCCTTAATTTAAATATTCTTAAATAATAAACATTATTAAACATAATAATAAAAAGAAAATAATAATAATCATTGCATATGTACATGGTAAATTCAAATAATCATAATAATATTTTTTCATTATATTCTAAAATGGGGATATAAAATAAAGGTGATTAAAATTGTTTTGTAATTTTACAATTTTGTAATTTCGTAATATTTTACTTTCAACGATAATATTCGAAATGGAACAATTATTTAAATTTGGTTAACAAAGTTTTTTTTATTATTTATGTAAGATATTCGATTACTTCGTAATCAACTTTTTAACAGACAAATAAATTTATAGAATAATTTTGTGCTATTAAACCATTAGACTACATCTACCAGATTATTATTTGTAATATTTTTAAATTGTAGTACGAACTAAAATTTATATTATGAATAATAAAATAATCTATATTGATTTTAATTGATATTAAGTAATTAGTGAATATAGTTAATGTCTGAAGATATTATATATAATTTAACAAAGATAGAATAACTTATAGTATTAACATTTTTTTTTTATACCAATGTAAAAACTATATTAAATGAAGATCTTGATTTTGCGTCTATTGTTTTCAAATTTTTTCCACTTTTAATCTAGAAGATAGTAAGGTATCTTAGTATTTTTATAAATTCAATTTGATTTTTGAAAGTGCATAACAATTGTAAGCTTTGGGACATGGATCCGTTAATTTTTTTATACTTTTTTTTTTTTTATTAGTATTACAATTTTACATATGTATTATGTTAATAATAAAATAATAAAGTACTACTATGAATAGCTTAAGAAACGAATGAACAAATCCTAGCGATTTAGATTCTAATTATAATTTGGCCGTCTGAATTCTGTCATTTTAAAATATAATAAATATAATGTTATATTAATTTCATCAATATAATTACATGAAAATACATAAAATCCATTATTATTATTTTCAACAATTTTCTCAACAAATAATAAATATATCCCACTTTAAATAAAAAAATGTTTATTATACAGATTACTATGGTTAACAATTCTTATCATTTCACTATGTTGTGCTGCTGAATTGGCTAATAAATTTTATGAGAGACACGAATCAGGGAATATGCGAACGACCGTCGTCTCGGATCAATTTCCATCATTCAAGTTGCCTGTACCTACAGTGACACTATGTCATGGGAACTTAGTGTCCGCCGAACGTTTAAACCACTTTTTAAAAAAACAGAAATTGTAAGTACTTTGGCGACGATTGCTTCATGAAGTAAATATATATATATATATATATATATATATATATATATATATATATTGAGCTTAAATGAAGCTTCCGTTAATCTAATGATTGAGCGATACAAATATTGTCCGATACACTGTACAACGTACAATCCATTCGATTAAAAAAGATACAAATTATTTGTAGATACAATTATTAATGGCATCATATATTAATTTATAATAAATAACGTATTATGAGTATCATTTGAAATAGAGTTTTGATAGTTGAGAATATTTTCTATTTGTACTTTATCAATATTTAAAACTTATTAATACTAATTAAACTAATTGAATTGTTAATTTATATAATTCAATAATCATCTAAGTTTAAATTTAATAATTTAATCATTTCAATAAAATTTCTAACCTTATGATACGATTTTAATTTCTCTATGCTGAAGTATAATGAAAAAATTTTTATATATTCGAGCAAAAAATGTTAGCATTGAGCAAAGTAAGAGGCGATAGCATTTTTTTTTTATCATTTTTTACATAAATATCTCATACGTAAACTACGAATCTATATGATAAATTATTAAAAATTAAGCATTATTTATTATAAAATTTCAATACTGTAATTTGCTTAAGAGTGAGTTAATTAATCATCGAATTTTATATATTAATTGGTAAAAGTTTTAAAATAATGCATTACATATATATATAAATTGAGGTTCGTTGCTTGTTTGTTTCAAAACTTGTAGCAATTGAAAGTTATCTCGCGTATAAGTAAGATGCAATTAATTAAAAAGTATCGAGAAAAATAAGACGCTCTTTATATTACGCCTTGACAAAGAAGAAAATCCAGAATGTCAATTAACTTTTGAATGAATTGATTTCCCCTTTCGTCTCCATGCATGAAGCATGCCAAATAAAGAAGCAAAATCTTTCGCTTTTTCATTGATCAATGTCCTCTTTGTAACATTTATTCTTGCTATTCACATATCTCGCACTTCTTATATATTGTATATATAAAAGTTAAATGTAAAATACACTTATAATATCATATTATATGATAAGTGAAAAAAAAAAGAAAGAAAGTAATTTTGTAAAATTAGGAAATATGACTTAAACTACCAACTATTTTATTAGTAATTCAATTTTTGCGATAGTATAAATTGTAAAAATTTATCTATAGTAGGCTGAGCGTTTAAAATTATTGATATTGCATTTAAAGTTTTTAGCGAACTATATGTATTTTATGGATTGAATAAAGAAGCTTATACATTGAGTTGTATGTATAGAAATATGCATACGATAATGAAATAAGATGATTGTGATAATATTTGAAGTGAGGCAAGCGAGCGAACGCAAAACGAGTGGGTAGAAACAAATATTTTGCATATTACATTTCAAGAAAATAATTTTACCCAAACCAGAATTATTATTACGGCATTAATAGGAAAGTGCATAATTAAAGTTTATGCTGAGGAGGCTTCGACTTTAAATCAAACAAACAATATTACATGCTAATGATACTTTAATACTTGCACTAATTTTCACAAATTTACTAATGAAGTTTTACCTTACGACGTTTTCACCCAAGACTTTTATAATTACAAAATCTCTTATATATAACACCATAAAAATGCAGAAAATTCGATTATATGTTCCTCTTTGCGACATACTATATTTCAAATTATTGAGAAAGATTCGTCATTTTTTAAATTTAACTCTTGCTACATATTTCTGAACAGATATGCTTTTATTCCCATCGAATAATTAATCGATTGATTAGAAAATCCGTCATCAATTTAGCCGAAATGTTTATTTAAATTCACAAATTCTTAAATTATTCTCCTTTTTTAATGAAACTTTTATTAAAAGAGGTGCTTGCTGTAAATCAATGATTATTATCTTAAAACTCATAGATTCTTAAAATTTTTTTAAAATTATAAAAATTTCTATTTCCAATATAGCATTTACGATTATATTATGTGAGATCAAGATAAAAATTTCGAATGTATAATTTGGAAAAAATATCCGTAACGCTATAACATAATATATATATATATATATAATAGTGGAAAAAAGAAGGAAAGGTCAATTGTGCGTGAAACATCATTTCTTTAAAGAACAAAAAGTAGAGAAAAATCAAGAAAAATGTTTTATTTCAAAATAGATTTAAAAAAAAAAAAAAAAAAAAAAAAAAAAAAAAAACGTTTAATGAAAAATACAATAAATTAAAAATTATAGTATACTATGATCTTAAAATATGTACACTTAAATTTTCACTGATCATGCGTCATAGGGAAGGAAGTAAGATCAAAGAGCTTTTTCAGGCACATGCCAACCGGCCTCTCGATCAAGGACTTTGAACGTGGCGTACAGCACTTTCGCGAGATAATCTACCCCTACCATCATTACCCGAAGGAGTTGAGCAACCTCCAGCAGATACTCGACGCGAACAACATAAGCGTCGCGCACCTGCTGCGAGAACTCTCACCCAAGTGTATGGACGTGCTGCTGATGTGCATGTACGAAGGTCGGATCGCCCACTGCGACGACGTCTTCGTGTCCAAGCTCACCTCTTACGGCTTCTGTTGCTTATTTAACAGCGACGAGCAGAACGATTTGAGAATATCCAGGTACGTTCGACCATACCCTATGGAATAGACAATCCTCCCACCATTTCGTTTACTTATTAGTCTAATACACAACTCTTGGGCATACTTTTATCCACCGCAATACTATCCTTCATCTTCCCCTCTATTTATCTTGTAAAAGGGCTTCAAAAATAGAATTGAAAATAAATAATTCTAGAAAGGTATTGTGGACCCGTAATAAATACTCGCTGAACTTTGGTACTCGCTACATACTGTCGGTACTGATGAAACCTTACAATGCGAGCGATCGAGTCGCCGCGATAACCTACAGCGGGGGATACAAGGTTCTGGTGCACGACAAGTACACGATGCCCGGCCCGCACTCGATAAGTTTCATGTTGGCCTCCACCTACGAGACCATCGTCGGCTTAAACGGCAAACAGATGACCACCAGTCCCGAGGTCCTTACTCTCGCTTCCAAGCAAAGGAAATGCAGGTGATTAAACAGTTCGGGATTCAAAGGACGACTTTACATTTTAGCCTGCGGATTTACTTGGACATAAAACAAACAAAAAACAAAACAAAAAAAAAAAACAAAAAAAAAAAAAAATAAAATAATTAATAATTAAAAAACAATTTAATAAAATTAAAAGAAACGCCAGCAACAATCAAAGTATACGAGGAACGGGAAGTATAATAAGATTGTAAATCGGTAATTCAATTCGATTGAAAATTTTAATTAACCTCTTGTCTGTTGAACGCGTTCGCTTATATTCGTTGACATTACAACATAAACAAAAATAAAAATAAAAATCATGCTCCATATATTACACTTTCTCAAAATAAATGCTTCCAAAATCATTTGACTTTACATATCACTATCAACTTTATAACTCATTATACAACTATTAATTTCAATATTTATTATCAATTATCAAATTTAGCGCGCGCGACTCAATATTAACGTCACTCCTATGAAAATAAAAAAAAAAAAAAAAATGCCAATATTCCAAGACTCGAGTATACGCGAGGCACGCCGGTAATCCGAATTTTTGAAACTTCATAACAACGCATTATTCGGATTAAAGATTAAATTTTCTTTATCTAACCAGACGTCGCATCTCGATAAAAGGTACAACGACGAAAAGACGAGTAAGACGAGTACTTAAACGGACGATTGTTAACGATAAGATAAAATGTACGAATGAGTTTTAAAAGAAAATTCTGCTCTAGGCCATCGACGAAGGAGAACATCTACCGTTTGAGCAATTGTTACAAGGAATGCAGGAGAAACATGATATACGATCGTTGCAAGTGCGTGCACTACTTTAGCAGCGAACTTGAGCCACACCAGATCCATTGTAATCTGACGCACATTGCGTGCCTGGCGAAAGTAATGCCCGACACTTATTCGTTGAAGTTGCATTCGATGTGCGATTGTTTGCCGGACTGTAAGGGCACCGAGTACACAATTTCCATAACTGGACAGCCCTTCACTGCCGTTCGGTTCAGGCCGGGGCAATTCTAGTGAGTGCCAATTGTCATTATCAAATGTGGTTTTAATGACAGCGATCACATGTCTCCGTTATTGTTACGATTATACTACCAACTTATTCGCGAGCCTCATTAAATGTTCGTTATACAGCATTAATTTTCTCATAATTAATTAATTATACATAAAGTATATTAAAAATGAATTATGAGGAAATGCAAGGTTTTATTTTTCTTTTTCTTGTAACATCATTTAACGCGCAATCATATTTTGTCTCTATGATAATACTAAACTTAAGCAATAATGAACTATAATACCTAGAACTCAATTTACATATGATTGTGCGTGTATAGTCAGATTTAATTAATAAGAATCGTTTGAATTTTAAGTCGATTTAAGAATTCAAAAATTTAATTTACGATAATTTAATATGTACAGCCTACAGTTTCATATGTACATAGAGAAACAAAACATTTCTAGCAGCTCTGAACATGCTTCTAAAAAATGTAAAATATAAAAATAATAATTAACACAATTTACAAAAATGTCTACGAGATATATTAAAAAAAAAAAAAAAAAAAAAAAAAAAAAAAAAATTTAACACTCTATACAATACGAATGTTATTTAATTAAGATATATATATATATATATATATAAAGGAAAAAAAAAGAGATAAAAATTGGCTAATAATAGCATCGATCTGTTATAACAGCAGAAAGGCTGAGCAACATCCTAATTCAACAGCACTGCATGTAACATTTGCTAATCAAGTATCGATACTCGAGCGCAAAGAGTTGGTTCTCTCTTGGATTAATCTTGTATGTGAGTAATATTTAAACAAATGACTAAATACAAATAAAATTTTATGACAAGTGTTATTTCAAAATAAAATCTCTTGTTGATAGACAGCTTTTTTCAATATCTAGCTATTTTAATGAATATGTTTATGTATGTACATAATAAACCATATTAATGCTATAAAATACAAAGTAGAAAAAGTATATATAAAGTATAGCTTTGAAAAACTTAAATTATTGTGTCAATTCGACTCTTAATATAACTGCTTTCAGTAAAAGGCTTTTTTATTTTTCAGCTTCGTTAGGAGGTGTCTTCAGTTTATTTTTGGGATGCAGTTTCATCTCCATTTTCGAATTTGTCTACTTTTTTTCCTATCAATTAATCAAAAAACTACAATCAAAATATACAAGAAATTCAATTGTAATAAATTCAGAATAATTATTAATATCGGACATTATATATTTAATAACAAGAATATATTTGACAATTAGTATTGTCTTACAATTATAAAATTACTAAACTTATACTTTCTTTCAGAGACAAAACTAACAATCCGAGAATTTACAAATTGATTTTAAATGAATATATTAAAAAAAATTTGATAAAGTTATTTTATTGCCTTTTATTACAATGTTCCTAAATTTACTAAGTTACCTTATCCGAATCTTTTTTATTTATTTTTATATCTTGCTGATGCAACTCCGTATTATCAGTATTTTTAATTTTATCTTTTACCACATCTAAAACATATTTTGGGAATGTATGATAATTCATATTTAACTTCTTCATTTGTCTCTGCTTCTTAGTAATCTTTTTTTTTTGCGAATATGTTACGGTAACTTTTTTTCCATGGAAAATTGGCCATGACGATTGATTTCTTACATAATATGAACACAATTCGGATGATCCTATTTTTACTCGTGCTTGCCTAGAGAATTTTAACATTAATACATTATATACAATATTTTAATATTTCCAGTTACCTTGGGCCATCTACTTTCTTTTGTATTAAACCAATCGTTACGGATCCAGGAAATGCTTGTTTAATTTCATGAATGCTAGTTTGATCGTGTATGTTAGAGACAAATATGCTGAAATAAAAATAAGTTCCGATTATGAGAAAATATCAGTTTTTGTCTGTAAATATTAAATTTTTTAATGTAATTACTATTTTTCAAATTCTAAATTCTCTGTTGGATCAGGCATAACAAGTTTTCTTTGCCTGGGCTTTTTGTTTTGTAAATCTAATGGTTTTGGTGGCTTAATAACAATTGGCTTGCCATTAATTAATTTTTTCTTAACTGCTTTCATATTTTCTAATTTTTCAGAAATGTTTGAAAAAATTACATGACAATATCTGCTAGATTGTCTAGGAAGTTTCACTATAAAATTCCCAAAAAATAAATTCCTAATATCATTAGCATCTTTGATTGTATTGGGTACACGAACATACAGCGTTCTATTTCTTTCTTCTTCTATTGCTACTATAGAACCTCGATTCCTCCATTTTTTTGGAATTTTTTTTAAATTAACCATGATCTACACAACAATTTTGTTAAATATTATTGAATAAATCGACAAAAAGAACAATATGTTACAGTTGACTGCACTATTATTGTTAAAATATTTGAATTCATTAATTTAATTCTTTATTTTAAAATGAAAGAAAAGATTTTTTAGTTTAATATACGTATGCATACATATATCGAACAATTTTTATACCCAAATGATATTAATTTACATAGTAAATTTTTCTTACAATTCATTTATTAGTTTTAATAATTTCATTTTAGAATAATATGATATTCTTAGTTTAAAGTTATTTATCAAACTAAATTGGGCTTTTACAAAATTTATCTATAAAAATACGTGACACTAAAATATATAATAATATGAAGGTAGACTTAATTTTAAGGAAGATGCAAATGTTTTAAATTATTATTATACATTAATATACATGTGCTTACATAATTTTAAAGGGTTCAAATTTTAAAGAACTCATGGATATCAGGTGGTTATTATATTAGAATTAACCTTAAAACATTATTTTATGATGTTAGTCAATTGTTATATGTGATTGAGAAATTGTAATTAAAAATGAAAGAATAAAACAAAAAAGGAAGAAAAAAAAATCATATTAATATTTTCTACGTGTAAAAATCAAATTGAAATAAATTAATTACTTGCTATATATTTATAACACTATCGTTTTAATATAGATTATTTTCTAATCTTTTTTCATTGAATAAGATATAAAAATTATTTGAAAAATGTATTTCAAACACTTGATTTAGTAAAACACTGAGGAATACGCACATACGCGTACTTAAAATTAAAATCAGAAATATAAATCACTAGGAATATCTGATAAACGTAAATTTTAGTTGGATAGCAACAACTACTGGGTAGTCGACAAATAGACACACACGTGCATCGGTTCATGCCCATTTCACGCGCTGGTGTATATACATACATATATATATATATATATATATATATATATACATACATGTGCGTGTATATATATATATAGTAATATACTTATATAATTTTCGGCAGATAGCGACTTCAGCGGCTTCGGGAACACGTGTTTAGTGACATAACCTGTTTCTTTCTAGTCCGTAATAGTAGTATGCGAGACTAAAGTTCGAGTCAAATCATCAAAATTGCCTTATCTTATTATTGTTAATTAATTAACTTTCTATTGTGATTAAATTACTTCTTTTTATGTATAAGTGTAATTATGTTACTAAATAATTTAAGAATTTTCTGCAAAAAGCGTGAAATTTATAGGGATTTATTTTCATACATTCTTGATAATAAAGTAAGTGCAAAATTTTAAAATGCGTACATTGAATGAGGATGATCATTATTGTATTGTTGAGTTTAAATTATTTTCTTTAATTAGGAATTATCACAAGAGAATGAACAAAAAGTTCTTCAATTATTAGCTGATGTTTTGATGAATCCAGAATATGCCAAGGATGTATCGGAATGTTTTCCACAATTATTACTAATTTTATTAAGTATGTCAATAAATACAGATCAAAAATTAGATAATTGTACTGCTGATATCGAATTGGTACATAGATTGAATTGTGTCATCATTGGAAAATTAATTTTATTACATCCGGATGTATTAAGGTAATGTTTTAATTTAATGCTATGCATTTCATTTAATGAATTAGTTATTATAATTAATAGATCGTTATTGTAAAAATTTCAGCTTTGCCTTACAATATTTCGAAATTAATCCTTCGCCATTTGAAGATTTAAATAAAAATATTAGTGACTCTATAGCATCAAAAAAGCTTAAGAAATATATATATTCCAATTATGTGACAGATTGTGAACTTGTTGAAGCCTGCTTTAATATTTTGCAAGCTTCGCCTTATCATTTTAAATGTAAATGGAATTGGTCACAGTTTTATAAATATTTGACAAGCGAAGACGATAAAGTAAAATGGTAAATAGTCTCTTTATTTATTTATGCCTAGATCAAGAAAATGATATTATCAAATATAAAATACAAATTAATTCTTCTTTGTAATTTGGTGTAAAATTTATACAAATTCAGAGTAAATATATATTAACATAATTGTTTAAAACAAAATCATTTTATAACTGAAAAGACAATTAAACATTTATTATAATAGATATTATATTAGCTACATTTTTTTAAATATAAAATTTGATTTAATTTGTTTGTAATTTATAATGCCATTATTTAGTAATCATATTTTGATTTAATAGAAAAAGAATTTTGTCAAATTTCATATTTTGAATATAATTTCAAATTCCAAAGTTTTATGTGCATTTATACATGCATAATAAAAGCGAAAAAAAATAATGAAAATGACAATGATTCTGAAATTTCTTTTAATTTATGTTATTTTTATTGTATCTGTGGATTCATTCTAGGCTAGCGACAAAATGTGTTGGTATTGTCTTAGAAATGACAGAATCCATACGATTAGAGTGTGCAAAGACTTTGATTAATGATATTGACAAGTTTCTTACCAATACAGAAGACAATGATACGAGTACAGTTCTACAATTTAACATTTCTTCAAATAAAACCGAAGAGATAGCTAAAAATGTTTCGACTGTCGTTCCAGTTGCTAATGTTTTGCTCCCAATTTTCAATAACAGAGTGGAAAATTTTAAATCTGACTTAGTTCCTGTGCCATCTATGAATGAAAATCTACGAAGTTTGGCACTCGCCGTTGCATCGAGAAAATGCATTTGCTTGCAAGGAGTCGTCGGATGTGGTAAAACGGCTATTATAGAATATTTAGCAAAGATAACTGGTCATGGGTCATCGGATTTTATAAAAGTACAACTAGGAGATCAAACAGATTCTAAAATGCTTCTGGGAAGCTATAGATGCACAGATATACCAGGAGAGTTTATATGGCAGCCTGGAGTATTGACGCAAGCAGTAATCGCTGGAAAATGGTTACTTCTGGAAGACATCGATAGTGCAGCGTTAGACGTTGCGAGCATTCTAAGTAACTTGATGGAAACTAGTACTTTGTCGGTGCCAGGCTATCGAGATACCATTCATGTTAAAAGTGGATTTCAATTGTTCGTTACCCAACGATTAATACCTACGTTATCTGGTTTTCATCTTCAGGCATCAGGAGCAACGAGCTTATTAGCAAAGCATTGGTTATGCGTTAATATGGAACCACTGTCTAAAGACGAATTAGTATTTATCGTTAAAACGCTATTCCCAATACTAAGTACAATCGCTACAAGGATGGTGGATGTTTTCTTATTGTTTTCAATTGGAAGTTCTTCGTCCGATGACAGTATCAAAAGTAGTATGACATTGAAGACTGGAAGATTAATTTCAACAAGAGATCTAATAAAGTGGTGCTCGAGAGCTACATTAAATTTTGTCGTTTCATCACCAGAATCGGCTTTAAAATTATTCCAAGATGCAATTGACATATTTTGTTGTTCCATATCAAATCAAGGTTTGTAATTCAGTTTATAAAATATTAAATAACATTAACGTTTAATATATATAATTATCTAAAGCAATGAAATGTAAATTAAGAATGAAAAAATGAAAAATTTTATAACCGAAAATTATAAGAAAAATCATAATAATTAAAGCCCCTAAATGCATTTCCCTACCTTTCAATTAATCAAATTTCTTGCAGATGAAAGATTGGTATTCGCAATAGTAATTGGTAATAAATTAGGGATTATTAAGACGAAAGCCGAATATTTTTTTCGCACCTACAAACCAGCAATTACAATATCATCCGAATACTTTATTAGTGGGCGTAGCAAATTGCAGATAATGAAGTCGTCTATAACAATGATTGAGAAAGCCCCGGTTAAATTTTCCTTCACTCGACTCTCGGCGTGCTTGTTGGAACGCATCACTAGCTGCGTAGCACAAAATGAGCCAGTTCTGCTTGTTGGCGAAACTGGCACGGGAAAAACCAGTTCGATTCAATATTTGGCTCGGATTACCGGCCATAAATTAATAGTAATTAATATGAATCAGCAGAGCGAAAGCGCGGATCTTCTCGGTGGCTATAAGCCAGTTGACTTGAAGTTTCTGATCTTCCCAATAAGGGAAGAGTTCGAGATTTTATTTCGCTCGTACTTTGCCGTAGAGCCGAACAGAGAATTCTTAAATCACATCGGTACGTGCTTTAAAAAAAGTAAATGGAAAATACTAATTGGCCTAATGACTACTAGTACCAACGCGGCCGTCAAAAGATTAAGATCGAAAATAGCGAGTGAAAATAAGGAGAAGACGGACAACTCGGACGTAACTAAAAACAAAGACATTTTAAGAGAGTGGGAAAGACTTTCTGTTAAATTAGATAAGCTGACATCCCAAGTTAAATCTCAATTGACTTTAGCATTTGCATTTATCGAGGGAAGTCTCATAAAAGCGTTGAAGGAAGGCCACTGGGTGCTTCTTGACGAAATTAACTTAGCCAATGCCGAAACCCTCGAGTGCTTGTCCGGCTTACTCGAGGGCTCCTCCGGCTCCTTGTCTCTACTCGAAAGGGGCGACACGGAGTCTGTGAAACGACATCCCGACTTCACTATATTTGCATGCATGAATCCAGCCACGGACGTAGGGAAGAAGGAGCTGCCGGTCGGCTTGAGGAACAGATTTACCGAATTTTACATCGACGAGGTCACGGAAAAACATGATCTGCAACTTCTGGTCGGCTCTTATTTGAGCGAGTTGAATTTACCGGTAGAAATGCAAAATGCGATAGTGAAGTTTTACTTGAAGGTGCGGCAAGAGGCTGCGTGGAGTCTTTGCGACGGGACGGCTAAGAAGCCACATTACAGCTTGAGAACATTGTGCAGGGCTTTGAGCATCGCTGCCACCAATCCATGCGTCGTTGTTTTGCGATCTCTGTACGAGGCCTTCTGCTTGAGTTTCCTCACTCAATTGAATTACAAGTCCTACCCGATTGTCCAGAGAATGATCGTGGAGGCGATTTTGGATAAAAAAGCGGCTAAGGCCATATTGGGTGCGCCGATTCCGAAGCCAAGGTAAATCAATACCCTTAGCACTATCTAGCACAATTGGCCTTCATATTTATTTGAGAAAGAATCACGAATAATTATTATCCATTTGAAATATTGTATGTAATGACAAAGAAAGTGGAAGGGGGGGGGGGAGAAAATGGAATGAAAGAAATGCTCGGAAATGATATTATAATAATAGATTAGTTCTCGATGCAGTAACGGAATGAAAATTCTCATCTACAATTCTAGGCAAACAAATAGGTATCTCGAAAATTGTATTATTTACCTCTGTCAGTTGATGAAATAACGCGCATTTCACATTTAATTTAATTCCTACGTAAATAATAACGATCTTCTTTCTATTTCATTATATTATTATACAATAATTATAATTGTCCAAAATGCCGCGTTAGCTTGAAAATCAAAGTAAAATCGTGCAAACGTTGCTCACAGGCCCTACGACAAGCCTTCGTCATTTTAAAGATTCGCGAAATTCACGTGCTTGTATTGGTGTTGATTTGGTAGTGGTGGTGTTGGGGGGTGGGGGGGGGAGGAAGGGCAAGCCAATGAAACTTCTGGTTCACGAAACAGGTGCTCGTCGACCGAAGAGTACGTGGAGTTCGAGGGCTACTGGGTCGTAAAAGGCACCGCCGAGATCAAAGTATCGCAAAACTACATTCTCACCGATACGGTCAGACGTAATTTGCGAGATGTCGTGCGAGTCGTCGCAATCGGCAAGATGCCTCTCCTGCTGCAGGGTGAGACATCCGTCGGTAAAACAAGTTTGATCACCTATCTCGCCAAGGCCTCGGGCCACGTTTGCGTAAGGATCAACAATCACGAGCACACAGACCTGCAGGAGTACGTGGGGAGTTACGTGGCCAACGAGTCGGGGAAACTCGTGTTCAAGGAGGGTATCCTCGTCGAGGCCATGCGCAAGGGCCACTGGATCATTTTGGACGAACTCAATTTGGCCCCGAGCGACGTGCTCGAGGCCTTGAACAGAGTTCTCGATGACAACAGAGAGCTTTTTATCCCGGAGACTCAAACGACTGTCAAGGCTCACGAGAACTTTATGCTCTTCGCTACTCAGGTACCGTATTCCTACAGTTATTATTACCATTACCTATCCTATTCCTACTACCAATCAAATTTCCAGTCCGTACGTTCGTTAAATTATCCTTCGATAAGCAAAGACATCGGGTATTATTACGATTATTAAAAGTCTATCGGATGTTTGACGGCGGCGGCACAACCATAATTATTTATTAAACATATAGTTTTTATTATTATTATTATTTTCTTATTAAACTAATTGAAACTTACGATCGAAGATTATCCTCGAATAAACCACGAATAATTGGGCTATTCAATATTTATTATATTTCGCCATGAATAATGTCCGTCGCATGCTTTCACTCACCTCTCAATCCAATACAAAGTAGTTCGAGAGGTATTATATAGTACTCGTATATATAAAATAAAAACGACGACTGCTCCTTGCCGGATAATATTATACCAATAAGAAATAATGTATTGCTGTGATTTGAGATATAAGATGTAGTAGTTTTGCTCGATCGCAATCTGAAAGACGAGAAATTAGGAAATTTGAAAATTTCCATTTTCATTTGGAACTCGCGCTCGCGGCAGCATCGAACAATTTCACTACCGTTAATCGCACTCTGCCTAGTTTATCCAATCTCTTTTTCCATGTTACGCTCGATGGAAAGAAGGGGCCTCGAAATACGATAATCATCTGAATTTAAGCTCAATTCTCGACTAATGCACAATGTACGCGTACGCAATTCCAAACGCAGAATCCACCAGGAATCTACGGGGGCCGTAAAGTACTGTCCCGAGCCTTTAGAAATCGTTTCGTCGAGCTGCACTTCGACGAGATTCCAGCCACGGAGCTTACGCACATTCTGCACAAGCGTTGCAGCATGCCGTTGTCGTACTGCAAGCAAATCATTGCGGCAATGACGGATTTGCAAATGCGTCGTAAGAACACGGCGGCCTTTGCCGGCAAGCAGGGCTTCATCACTTTGCGCGATCTGTTCCGATGGGGTGAGAGATACAGGCTGGCGCCCGACCCTGGCAGCAAATTTTACGACTGGAGTCAACATCTAGCGGATGAGGGATACCTCGTGTTAGCGGCGAAGGTGCGCAGACCCGAGGAAGCCGAGGAAATCAGGCGAGTAGCATTTTTTGTTCTTATAGTTTTTACAGCCGTAAAAAAGGGGCAAAGACGTTTGTCGTTATATAATCGTAATTGGATTATTATCGGCGATCGAGAGTTATCGGCGCATCTCAGCAGCTTCCATTTGCTTAACGATGGCTTGAAAATTCTAATCACGAATATTTTACGCCGGGATTCGATGTTTCAATGTGCGAGGTCGTTGTACTCGATTGGACTAGAATTTAATTTAATTGAAGCAATTTTTATCATTTTGATATTATAAGGTAGATTTTACGTTGGAGTGCCGGTAATCGCGCGCCATGGATCAGAGATTCGAATTACTGATGGTTTCTGGGCCGTCCTTGAATTTTAATCGCCAATCAAACAAGATCTCAATCAGATAACTGCAAATTCATCAAATAACAAATTCATCAGATAACTACATTCATTTACTAGGATTTCGAAATACAAATACGTGTATTATTTAAAATGCCATTTATTTCAAATTTAGAAGATTTTTGTTTGTTTTTTGTTTGTTTGTTTGTTTGTTTGTTTGTTTGTTGTTGTTGTTGTTCAATTGACAATTCGCTCGATTAAATACTCTTGGAAAAAATAACAAGCCAAGATAGATTTCGATAGATTTTGTTAACTTAAATGTAATGGGCACTTTATATTTCATTTTCACGTTCCCTTATGTACTAATACGAATGCGCTTATGCTTCTACGATTTAATTAATTTTCATCCTTTTATTATATTATTAAATTCTTTTCTTACGACCCTTAAAAACGATCGATAATCATTATTTCAGGGAAGTCATAAAGAAGCATTTGAAGCGCAGTGTGAATCCACGGAATTTATTTACTTTAAGCGAGAATACGTCTTCCGTAACGAGATCGATTTTGGAAGGGATCGAAAGGAAGGATGATTCGTCCTTTAAGCACGTCGTTTGGACGTATCACATGAGAAGAATGGCTGTCCTCGTAAGTAAGTCCTACGAATTCAAGGAGCCGGTGTTACTCGTCGGCGATACCGGAGGGGGTAAAACGACGATCTGTCAATTGATCGCCCAATCAAGGTCAAGAAAATTATACGCGGTTAATTGTCACATGCACACGGAGTCATCGGATTTCTTGGGAAATTTAAGGCCGGCGAGGAACTACGACGAGAAAAATAATCAGAGGCTGTTCGAGTGGGTCGACGGCCCGTTGATAAAGGCGATGCGCAGCGGCGACTTTTTCCTCGCCGATGAGATTTCATTGGCCGACGACAGCGTTTTGGAGAGGCTAAACTCATTGCTGGAGCCCGAGAGGAAGCTGCTGTTGTCGGAGAAGGGCATTGACGTCGGCGACGACTCCAAACAAATGGATTACACTATTGTCGCTAACGAGGATTTCTTCTTTATCGGGACCATGAATCCCGGCGGAGATTACGGGAAGAAAGAATTGTCGCCCGCTCTGAGGAATCGTTTCACGGAGATTTGGTGCGACGGATGTACGGAGCGGAAGGACTTGCAGTCCATTATCGAGCACAATTTCAGTGCGGAGATTGGAGATCGCGCTGGGAGTGAAATGTCAGAGAGTATGTTAAATTTCATCGATTGGCTTTCAACGTCGGACATTGGCAAAAAATTCACCATCAGTATAAGAGACATTTTGAGTTGGGTCAATTTCATAAACATATGCATAGAGAAAAAGGAAAAAGCGTATAAATTAAATCTCGGAGATGCTTATTACCATGGAGCGAGCTTAACGTATACCGACGCTTTAGGATCCGGCTTAACAAGCAGCGAAAGGTAATAATTCCCTAAGGTAATGAATGCCTTAATGAAAATCTCTTTTACTCGAACAGCATACGTATTAAAATACTTAAATTTCACTTAATACATGTGTATGTATGCGCACGCACAATCAAACGCAAGCACAAGCATAAATTCGTACTAATGTAGAAACGTATCTGATCATCAGAATGTAAAATTAATGTAAAAATCGCACCTGTCGTCCCAGCACATACGTTTCACACACACACACACACACCCATTTCTTACGTTGACCAAATAATATAGAAATTTCGTTCGCTCGTTTCAGCATTGAGAAGATTAATATATTTAAAGCCAATGCGACTGCCATGTTAAAAGCTCAAACGGACCGTCTGAATGCGCTTTCCTTTACCGGCGATCCAATGGACGTGGAGGCCGAAGCAACAACAATTTCCAGCCAATTTTTCGGCATCTCACCCTTTTTCATCCCAAGGGGCCCCGATAGTCAAGACGAGGCCAGCCTGTCGTTCACATTCCGCGCGCCAACGACTGAACGCAACACACTCAAGCTTCTGCGTGCCCTGCAACTACGGAAGCCCGTTCTATTGGAGGGCAGTCCTGGAGTCGGGAAAACGAGCCTCGTCTCGGCGCTCGCGAAGGCATCCGGTCACACGTGTTTGCGCATCAATCTGAGCGACCAAACGGACGTGTCGGATCTCTTTGGTGCCGACTTGCCAGTCGAAGGTGGCAGAGGTGGTGAGTTCGCTTGGCGCGACGGTCCCTTCCTCCACGCTTTGAGGGCTGGACATTGGATTCTCCTGGACGAGCTCAATCTCGCCTCGCAGTCGGTCCTCGAGGGCCTAAACGCTTGCTTCGATCACCGAGGAGAAGTTTACATTCCCGAATTAGGTACACCGAGTCATCACTTTTATTCCACTTCCCTGGATCTCAGCAATTGAGCTTCATCTACCTTTCAATTACATTATATGGCATATCAAATAATACTAAAACAAAAAACAAAACAAAAAAAAACAAATAAATAAATAAATAATCGCTTCGTTTTAGATAAAAGCTTTATCGTGAAACCCGAAACGAAGCTGTTCGCCTGCCAGAATCCAGTGAAACAGGGCGGAGCGAGACGTGGTTTACCAAAGTCCTTCTTGAACAGATTCACACAGGTGTTTGTGGATGCATTGGCCGATGAGGATTTAAAGTTTATAGTCGCCATGCAATATCCAGTTATAGAAAAGCAGCTCGTCGATAAAATCATCCTATTCAATTCGAGGGTGTCCAGTGAAGCGGGAGTTACTTGGGGCTTTTATGGGGCGCCATGGGAAATGAATTTGAGAGATGTTTGTAGATGGTGCGAGGCTACGATTATGGCAGCTAAAACGGATATGACTGGGAAAATTGTTTATAATCCGGGAGCTGCGGTGGAGCTCGTTTACGCGAATAGAATGAGAACCAAAGAGGATAAGCTTAAGGTATAGATTTCAACGTTGCAATAATCATGATTATTAGGGACGGGCATAAAAACGATCAAATTGATGTTTAATATTCTTAATATACATAAGTGCTCTATTATCAATTTTCACGTAAAAAGGGGGGAGGGGGGCTTTGCGTTCTTTCATTTGTGTAAAATTCATAGCTCATAAAATCAGTATGAAACTGCGGTGAAATAAACAAGAGGGCATGAATGAAATTGAAAAAACAATCCAATGTCACGGCAATAATTCGTTGTGACGTGTATTTCAACATTCGCAGGTATCGAACATTTATAAAGATGTATTTCCCGAAGAAAAGTATTCACTGTCACCGCCGCCGTTAGTGAATATTACCGATGAAAAAGTGTATTTTGGCGATGTTGCTCTTCAGCGCTCTAACACATTGGTCTATGATGATCAAAATTTATTACTTCTTCGTGATCAAATATCGACGCTTCAGAGTCTTGCACAGTGTGTTGCGATGAATTGGATGTCAATACTGGTAAGGACAATTAATACACCCAATTCTTGAATTTTCCTACGAGCTTAAGCACAATTCTCATACGATAATTTTAATTGTAGGTAGGAGGATCGGGTTGTGGCAAAAATAGTATTGTGCGTGTTTTAGCTCAATTGGCAGGTCAGAAGTTGAAATCGATTGTCGTGAATTCGGCCATGGATACAACGGAGATTCTAGGCGGTTTTGAGCAGGTAAATCTTGAGTTATTATATTATGAATGGCATTGTTACATATTGCCTCGTAATGTTTAAGATTGTGTGCAAGATTAGTTGAAATATTCATTGAAACAAAAAATATTTAATATAACGATATCCATCTATCTATATATATATATATATATATATTTCTTATTATACACGTACGATTCATTCGCACCTAGGCATACTTGAGTAATAATCAATATCAATGAAATTAAGACTTACTAACTAACATTTATTGAAACGTGGGTCCAATCATTCAAATACAAAACAAATTATTTCGCTTTATAAGTATACGTTTTATATTTAATCTTATTAGGCACAATTTGTTTGCATGGTTAATGTTTATAATATTTTTCAGACTTCTTGGCTATGCTTTGGGAGGATGAAAAAAAATGTCATATTTCTTAAAATTATATTTCCTTTAGATTTATTAAAATTATATTTTTTAGTTAAAGACTAAATATTTTTCAACTGCTAGCAATACTTTAAGTATAGATAGTTACAGCTTTAAACTTGTCTTGTATATTAAAAATCGTTACCTTCCATCATTAATTTTGTAAATTAGATTTATAACTCTATTGAAAATCAATCCTTATTAAGCAAAATATCTACTTATTTCAATTAATTATGCACTTAGGATTTAATTAATGATTATTAAAACAAAGTAATTCTTAGATTCTCAGCTGCTTCTCATAAAATTCAAAAAATAAATAAATTTTAGATATAGATTAAAAATGAAATTCATTATTTATTTTAACATAAGAGCATTATTACACTGTTTTGTATTATTTTTATAACATTCAAATCATATTACCTTTAAATCTTTCATTAATTAATAACAATTTGTTGCATAAACTTAGCGTATTATTAATGGCACATATAATAATTTCCTATATACTAATTGACAAAAAATGTGTACACAATCTCTAATGGGCGGACTACTTTAGAATCAATGGTTTTTATTATTTTTATTAATAATATTATTATTATTATTATTATTATTTTCTATATTAGACTATATTTTTGGTTAACCTTTAAAACTTGATAGCTTTGTGTATCGGAAATAAATTTTGAGCTGAAGGAGGACAATAAATAGTCGTTGTGCCATACATTAAGCATACGGTATGGCCCGTCGGACCACTTCTTCATCAATGTATTTTCTAATAATCTCTAATTACTTTAGAATTTTGTTTTGTTTTAGCATCTTTGCTTTTAAGCTTTCTAGGTATGCTTTTAAGGTTTCTTTAGTTACATCAGTGATTTTTTAGTATTTTTATTTTCAAAACTACTTAAAATTTTTGTATTTGTTTTAACATTTTAAAAGCATAAGCGGCATTTTATTTTGCAATAGTGTAACATTAATTTTTTACAATGATATATACATACTGAGGTTTTTAATTTAACTCAATGACATTTATATAAGTAAAATAACATTTAATGATAATTAATGGTTATAAATTATATTAGTTTATAATATTTTTTTAATTGTCGTATAATGTACAGTAATTATTTCATTTATTACGTTGATATACTTTTGAAGTCATATAATATGATAAATTTTATTTACGTAAATAAATCGAAGTATTAGTTCCAATATCACTTCATCTATTACCGTCATGATTAGTAATCTGATATTTCATTTAGATTATTTTATAATGTTAATGAGGTGAGTTAAAACGTTTGTTTCCAACATTCGATTATTTTTAATTATTTTATTGATATTGTTAATATTGTTAATTAATACTTTATGCATCATTTTAATAATCGGCAGATTGAAAATATTATCAAAATTGAAATTTACATTGCATGATTAATAATAATATCAAAGATGTTATTTTTTTATAATTATAAACATTTCAAGTTATATAAATTTAGATACAAATGAGATAACTAATTACTAAATGTCTTACTAATTAATTGTATGGTTATTGTATACTACAATATAAATGTTAGCGATAGTAAACATTACCAAAGATTCTTAACTCTAATTTTTAATTAAATTTTTAATTAGTTAAATACTGTCTATAATTTGCGGTCAATACTTTCAGAATTGCTTATTACCGAAACTGCATAGCTGACATCGGCATTAACGAGTCATTTTCTAATATCTTCTAATGTCTATCACAACGTTCATTTTTGTGAAAATATTTTTTTTTTCAAAACATATTTAACTAGTAAGAAAGAAGCAAATTATGCATTTTTGTTACTGTCAAGCTCGATTATATTTACAACTAGTTATATCGGAAATACATTATAAGAGGCTACAGGTGTTATCATTTTCTTTATATATTTATAATTGTTCTTTTATATCACTTACTATAAAGCTCAACTTTACCAAAACATGGCTGAAAATTTTTATTGTTATTTCATCCTGAAGTAAAATTATGCTAATACATTAAATACATTTCTTACAATTATTACAATGAATGACAACAATTATAATAAATAATTTTATTCGTACATATTCATTCGTAAGTATTTGAATTTTTATACACACTTAACACTGCCATAACATTTAGTCACATATAAAATTCATGAAGGAATAATTTATTGTTAATTTAGTTTCAAATATGTTAAATTTTTTTCTTTGTCAATTATAATTTTAATTTCATTATAGTTTAAGACAAAAATACAACCTTATTAAAATTAAACCATTTTTGTAGTATTGGATGTTCTGGAATTTAGTTCATTGCTAATTATCAATTAAATAATCTCAATTTTAAAGATATTAGTTATTTATGAAATATTATTGCTTTATGATTTTTTATGAAAAACTAGTATATTTATACTTGAACGCCTTCAATTAAATCGTAAATATTTGAAAATTACGTATAAAAATCTAGGAATAGGATGTATTTAAATAAATTCAAAGGGCTGATTTTCTTCATAAATGAGGTCGTTATAAATGTAGGTGTTCCATATAATTGGAATTTCAATGGAATATTATCATTATATCATTGTAATTACATAACGAATGAGCATTCGGATAGATTTGTTCTTATAGTACCATTAATTATAAATATTTCTAGACGGTGAGGATTTATATTCTAAATAATAGATAAGCGTGGCTAGTAAATTTTATAAATTTAAAGGATAATTATAATTTTTTTTTTTAAATCTACATTGATAAAGAGCATCAATAACAATATTTATCATAAGCATTATGTATATATATATATTTTTTTAACTATATTAAAATATTATTTCAATGTTGCTTTTGAAAGCTAGACTAATATTATAATAATTTTCTAATGTTTGTACAAGTTGTAATTAATATATAGAAAAAATCCTTCAATTTTATAATGTCTGGCCATTATATTATTAAAAAAATTCATTAATTAAACTATTTATTATTTAGTACCTATTAAAAACTATTATTTTATTGCTAAATAAGTTTAAATTAAAAATATATTAAATATATTAAATTAAAAAAGTTTAAATTAAATATATATAAAATACAATAATATTCGTTATTAATGGAGTATTTATTCAGTCTGAAAAGATTTCTTTAAGGAGGAGGGCATATTGTTAAGTTTTTCGAGTGCTTATGGAAAAGAAATTGTGCTTTATTTCACTCTTCTACATTATGGCAATGCATTCTGTATATTTGTACCGTTTACTTTTAATTCTAGTTATATCAGATGTTGATATGTACACGATGTATCTTGTTATTAAATTGTAGATAATGAAGGCCTGTATTTAATTTAATCGAATAACTTTTAATTTTTACTCATAATAATAAATTATCTCTTACTTGACAAAAAAAAAAAAAAAAATTTATTTATGAAAAGTTCAAGTTATTAATTATTAATTTATTAACGAATTGCCGTGTAAGTTTTAGTTAGGAATGATGCAATATATACTGTTTATATTAAATTAATTGTCTCATTTTCATTAGTAATTTTCATTATTAAAAGAAAAAATTTAAATTAATATTATTCTAATTTATTTTAATTGTCGAAATTGATGATAAGTAAAACTTCAATAAATAATAATTGAAACGACTTCGTACTCGTGAAAGTCTTGTAAATTATTAAAAATGTTTTTATCTGTATGCAATAATTTCAAGTCATAATACAACAATTAAATAGTACCGTTATATAAATTAACAATAAAATAAAATAATATTTATCATGAATTATTTATTGTTAATTTAAAAGCAATCCCATATATTTGGGCTTGACAGTCCATTGGCACTCGAAAAAATCTGTTCCAATTGACCTAATTATTTTTCAAATTCATAAACATTATCACTATATAACGAACAAGTAAATAAAAAATAATGTATACTAAGTGATGATATTCGAATATTTGAATTCTCGTGAAGTAAATTTAGTAGTAAAAGTGCTTTGCAATAATTTTGTATTATAGATTATTGAAGAAAAATATAAATATAAATATCTTAAATATATCAATACTTTCTAGCCGAATATATTATTGAGGTTGAATTAGCTCATAGTATTTTGATATTCATGTGTAATTTTGTATAATTTTGAAAAAACCTATCCATCCAGCTTCATCTATACGGATCCCTTATTAATTATTAATTACTTTGAAATTATGTTAATTAAAACATATTTAAATGTTTAAAGATCAATTTTAATATAAAAATTACAATGTCATAGCCTATGAGAATTGTACACATTTGTTATATAAAAATATTCATCCACTTGAATTACTACTTATTTTAAAACATTTAATGGTCCTATATTCATATAATACTCATATAATTAAATATTATTTGTATACTTTAATATTCATTGGAGATAATAATCGATGAATTTTGTTTTCAATTCATGTTAAAGTTAAATTGTTAAAGTAAATCGATGAAAATGTGAGACGCATACTATATATATTGAAAAGTCGAAGACTTTTGATCGAGAAGGTACTTTGAGAAAACTGCGAAAATTTGTCAATAAATTGATAAATAAATTCAAGTAGTTTTTAATAATATTTTGCAATGAATAATTTGAAATTCTTGTACTAATGAA